AATCTTTTTTCATGTAGAACACTTCATATGGAAAGTATTTTCTAGTGAGAAACATTTCACTTTGAAACGAGTGGAATGCTAAATAAAATTTCTTTTGGATGACTTGAAGAGGGTCACCATCCATTGTGAATGCAAAGTTATTACGGTTGTTTAGTCCTTAGCTAGATTACTTAGTTAAGAAATAACTGTTTGTTTTGTTTTTTCAAGTCATTGGCTGATAAGGTATCGATAAGCATACAAGATTTACAATGATCTGTAACAGGACCACGGGGAAATCTGTGCTTAATACTTGATTTGGAGTCTTGGCAGACTTGAAGATGCCGAGATTGAAAGGAAGGGCGTGGAAGCTGTAGATTTGAAGGTTGACGTACCCGCAGTTTTTTTTTTTTTTTAATATTTTTTATAGGAGGTTGTAGCAATTCATTTGTCCCATTTTTTTCCTTTGTTTGTTTGTTTGTTTGTTGGTGTTTTTTTTTTTTTTAAAAATCAGTTCCTACATCTCTTCACTAATTTTATAATTGATTGTGTTTTTGTAATGGACACTCTACCATTGAAGAGAGGGGTGCTGGCCACGAATTGTAAGATTTTTGACTTTATAATATAAATTCTTTCTCGTCCTTTTTTTTTTTTTTTTGTTTTGTTTTTTTTTAATGGTTAAACTCATTGTAAATTTTCAATTGGATCTTTCAATTATGTCAAAAAAAAAAAAAAAAAAAAAATCAGATTAATGTGACGATCATAAGTTTAGGTCATGCGTACTTATGCTTATTAGATTACCTCTAGTTTGTTCCTACCACTTCTCTTTTGTTCCGTACTGTTAGAAACAACATTTTTGCAGATTGCCCTCCGGTCATCTCATGACCTTTGGCCGCCAACCCCTGGCCAACCCTTATCAACGATCATCATATTTGTCCACCCTCCACTATCGGTCATCACCTTCGCCAATTCACCAAACATTTTTCTTTTTATTTTTATTTGTGTTTTAAAAAAACTTGTACACCAAAACAAATTTCTTGATTTCATTTTTTACCCCAAAAAAAAAGAAAAAAAAAGAAAACTGGTGTCCAGTTTTCAGAAGAAACTGACAATGTTAACAAAAGGGTCATTAGGTGTTAGACCATTTGGATGGAATGATTTGAAGAGAAAATAAAAGAAATTGATTTTTCTTATTTTTAATTATTTGTTTGGATTAGTAAAGGGAAGAGAATTAAAGAGAATTGAAAAGAAATAGTGATAAGTTGATTTTCTCTTACAATTATTTTTTGAATCTTGCCAAAATTAGAGAGATTTTGAGAGAAAAGAAATGTGATGATTATTAATTTTATATAATATTAAAACTGTCCATCTAGTATTAAAGAAATTAAAACATAAAAGATTTTGATATAACTTATATGAGTTTCTATTCATTTTTTTTTTTTGGCAGTCTATCCGAATAAGATTAGAAAGAAATTACTATTTTTTCTTTTCTCTCAAGTTTAATCAAATTAAGGTGTCGTTTGGGGAGTGGGTTGGCTTTTTTTGCCTAAGGTGTCGTTTAATCAAATCAAATTTAATCAAGAGAAAAGAAATTACTATTTTTTTTTGCCTAAGGTGTCGTTTGGGGAGTGGGTTAGCTTTTTGACTTTTTTGGCTATTTTAACCTTTGGCTAAAAAGCCTGGTTTGGGAATGACTTTTGGTTTTTTCGGCTTTTTTGTGAGAGAAAGAATGTAATGATTTTGGGTTGGATGTGATGTTTTGTCTTATTGAGCTAAAAAATCTATTTTGTTTTTTATGGCTATTTTAGCCAAAAAAACTCTAAAAGTCTCTTCCCAAACAGAGGCTAGAGGGAGAGATAATACGATAATTTTTTCATTTATTTCTTTTGGTAATATAAAAAAAAGAGATGTATACATGTCGTGGGAGGTAAAATTTAAGCTGTCACATTGTTTAAACGGGTTAGAAGCACATATATAACTGCCGAGTAGGACACGTGACATATGACGGTCAAGTAGAGTTACTGATTGAATAGGCTTAGCAGGACACGTGGCATAGACGGTCAAGTAGAGTTACTGACTAAATAGGCTAAGCTTGAGTTGTGGATTTAAATGAATTAGGTCATGGGTAAATAGTTCAAACCTAGCGGAATCGTGCTTATCCTTTCGTGGGACGCTGCGAATGTGGGACACGATCCCATCAGAAACAAAATAATAAGGGAATACCATGATAGAGATCTCTCAACGACAATTAATGACACTTAAAAGTAAGCCAACAATTTTAGGAGATATGTTGACATTCTGACATACTTTTTGAGAGTTTTACTATTACGATAATTGATTTAGATGTTAGGTTTTCCTCTGAATGGTTTTCTCAATGTGTTTGATTCATGGATTTGGAGAGAGATTTAAAAATATAAAAAGAAAAAGATGTGTGAAAATAGGTGAAATATAAATATATTTTATTCACATTTCACTTAATTTTTTCCTTTTCTTTTTCAAACCTCTTTCCAAATTCATGAACTAAACAAATGTCAACTTAAGTAAAACATGAGAATTGTTTTCCATCCTACAAATTGAAGTGCAGCATGCACTTCTCTTGTTCTTGTTTGAAACAATATAAAAACAAAAGGAATATTGACAAACACAGTTAAAAATGTGTTTGAGTTTGATAGACTAGTTTGACACTTTATCAGAAGATTTTTTTTTTTTTTAAAAAAAAAAAAAAAAGAGGTCTGAGACTACGGTTTCATAAAAATTAAATAATTTACTTTGATAACAAAATGACAAATTTGTGGTAGCCGGTAAAAATTTTCAAAATATTTTGATAGAATGATAGAAAAGGATTTTTTTGGTGTCATCATCTCAAATAATATTCATTAAAACAATTAGAAAATCTAAGAAGACATCACTTATGATATTCATCAATTAGGTTTCGCTTGTTCTACATTAAATATTTTTCATGTAAAATAATTTTGAAGAAAAGTAAATATATATTTTAATTCTTTTATTTTTACTTGACAAAATATTTAAAACAAAAAAAATGAATAATAAACTAATTATAGATAAAAATTTTAAAAAGTAAAATAAAATAAAATATGACAAAGATTAAAGCTGATGAAGCGATAATCAAGATGAGAAAAAAAATAATTTATAATAATTCATTTTTTGCTTTATTATTAAAAAATATTTTACTTTAAAACAAATATAGCGTTGATAATGAATATAAGTCGGACAAGGACTCTCACTAGAGGCCAGAGTAGGACTAATTCCGAGAATTGAATTCCCGTGAAAACTCAGGTGATGGAGGGAATTGGACGGCCAGTCGGAAAAGCACAAATGTGAAGCAAACAAACAGAGAATAATTCCTACTGAGAAAAAGAGAGGAAGCAAGAAAACAAAAGAAAAACCTTCTTTGGGCGGAGGATTTGGGAAGAAAAGGAAAAAAAATGTGTGAAATTATGTGAAATACAGATATATTTTATTCATATTTTATTTATCTTCTCCTTTTTTTTTTTTAAATCTCTTTCTCAATTTTCCAATTAAACACAGCGTAAAAGAAATTTCACCAAATTGATAAAAGCAGAGACACATTTAGGGCTGGTTTGGCATAGACTATATAATCAATCTTTTTATCTTTTTTCTATCACATCACCTCTCTACTTTTCTGTACATCTTTTCGTAAAAAGACAAAAAGTATACTTTTTTAAGACACCCCAAACCAACCCTTAAGCAATCTACACTACAATTGTTGTAACACTTTTATCATTTTTTGGTATCATGTTATATTTATTATTTTATTTGTTAACATGACATTAGTGTAACGATGGATCCAACGATTCATGTATATTTGCTGACGATTAGAATGACTTTTTTTGTACAATTTTAATAATATTATAAATTTAAAAATTTTATTTAAAAATTATTCAAAATATAATCCATATTCATTCTATATATGAACTCCATAACACAATAAAAACATTCAACACCCCCCCTCCCCCAATATTAATAATATTATAAATTTAAAAATTTTGTTTAAAAAATTACTCAAAATATAATCCATATTCATTCTATATATGAACTCCATAACACAATAAAAACATTCAACACCCCCCCTCCCCCAATATTAAAAAACCAAACTTCTTGTTGTATAATATTATACTTAACATCTTATTTGTTAATATAACCACAAATCTAAAAAACTAGAATTTAAACCACAATTTTATCCAAAAAGTTGAGGTATGGTTTAGATTAAGTTCTTGGAGGGTGAAACTCCATCTAAAATAAATTTTAATCACACCATGAATTTTTTAGACAAGTTTCTCGTAAAAACTTATTGACAGTTTATAATTCTTGTTAGTGTAATGGATCTTACCATTCATATTCATGTACATTAGTGACAACTAGAATATCCTTTATATATCCTATTATATTTATCATTTTATTTGATGTAATTGGTCCTATTATTCATTATAATTAGTCCAGATACAAACTCAAAATTTTTACTATAAAATTTATCCAAAAAATAATGTAGGGTATAGATTAAAACTTAATATGATGTTGGTCAGCCTCATATTGAATCTAGTCTATACAATTTTAATTTTATGTAATTTTCTCCATTCAGTCAAGATACAAACTCAAAATTTTTACTACAAAATTTATCCAAAAAATAATGTATGTTATAAATTAGAACTTAATATGATGTCGGTCAGTCTAGGCCTCTCTTGTTTCATCTTTAACCCCATCATCCTGTTGTCTCTTCCAGGTAGTCCAATTATAAGATACAAGTAAAAAACAAAGCTTATATTACCCTTCTCTCTCTCTCTCTCTCTCTCTCTCTCTATTTCTCTTTGTTCACTCTTCTCAACCCTCAAAGCTTCTTTATCCATTTTGTGTTCCCCTCTCTCTCTCTCTCTCTCTCTCTCTCTCTCTCTATATATATATATATATATGTATACATATCAATCTTAACTCTATATCTATAGATTGAAAGATCTGATCACAGAATATATTGAGAGTGAGATACCATGTTGTTGAGAAAAGGCATTGCCTTGGTTATTGTTTTGGTGGTTTTGGGGTCCTTAGAGACATGTTTGGCACAACAGAAACAGATCAATAGAGGAAGTTTTCCGAAAGGTTTTGTTTTTGGGACTGCCGCTTCTTCTTATCAGGTTGGTTTTTTCCCTCATGCACTTGTATTTTCTTTTCTTTTCCATTGAACATATTCATTTGTTAATTTTTTCATGAGTTGTTTCATTTACTCATTTGTAGTTTTGAAATACCTCAATCACACCTTTCAAATTCAATTTTTGTTAATCTAATCTGGCGCACATATCGAACTTGGTAAAATGAAATAATTGAATACTTAAATACAAGATTACGTATTCAAGAGATTATTCAAGAATACAAGATTACGTATTGAATTTATGATAGTTTGCTATTGTCTTAGAAGAAAGGAAAACAAAAGTTAAAGAGGAGCTAGGACAGTTTTTGCATGAGGTCGACTCCATGCTAAATGCATACGCTTTTACGCTGCGTTTGGTTGAAGGATTTGGAGAGGGATTTAAAAAGGAAAAGGAAAAAGTTTGGTGAAATGTGAATAAAATATACCTATATTTCATTTAATTTCACACACTTTTTCCCTTTCTCTTTCCAAATTTCTCAACCAAACACAGCATTAATGGATTGATATCTAATCCCTTTCCCTTTCCAAATCGCTCAACCAAACACAGCATTAATGGATTGATATCCATATCATGAGCTGTACCGTAACAATGTTTGTTGTTGTTTATACTTCTTTTCCGTTCTTTCTTCTCCTTCCAATAATTCTATTACACTTCCAAAAAATTGTATATGTCATCGCTTTTAGACTCGCTGACATGATACAAAGATCATCCAATAGTCTTGAAGTACTTCTAACTTCTTTTAAAAAAAAAAAAAAAAAATCTGTATCGAAGTGTTTAGTGCTGAACTTATAAGATAAAAATAACTTAGATAGGTAAAAAAAAAAAAAAAAAATATTATTACGTAGGAGAGAGAGGCATTACGTGCTTTTTGATTATTAATTTTTAATTTGTTAAAAATTATATCAAACAAACTCATAATATGTTAAAAAGGAATATAAAAATGATAAATCGCATTGTTGAAATCAATAGGAATCAAATTTAGCGCACTAAGGCCTTGTTTAAAAACTTAACTTATAAGTTAATAAAGTCAAAAAAATACAAAATTTTAAAAAAAAAAAATAAGTTAAACATACTAATAATTCACGTTATTTTATACAACTAAAAATTATTTTCATTAAAAAGTTAAAAATATTAAAAAAATTAATTTCCAAACGACTCTTAAATAATTTTCCAACCCAGTATGGAGAATAGGGCCCTGTTTGGGATAGTGACTTTTTAGTTAAAGTAGTCAAAAAATAAAACACTCAATCATATTATTCTTTTTATTTTTTTGATATGTTTTTAATAAAAAATAAAAAATAAAAAATAAGTTAAAATAATCACTTTCTAAACGAGCTCTAGGATATTTTCTATAATGTTTATCAAGAAAGCTGCAGAAAGGGTAAATTGGTCAATTCACAAAAGATGCCGTTAGAATTATTGGCCGCACAGGCGTCGACAAATTAGGGGAACACAACAACCAACGACTTGACGTTAAAAACTTGAAAGACATTGCATTTTCATGTATTTAACTTCACCTCCTTATACTTTGTAATATTTGCATGCTTCCGTTGCACTTTTATAAAATTTGCAAGGCACTCCTTCATCAAATTCTGCTGAAAGGCCTCTCTTGTTTCATCTTTAACCCCATCATCCTGTTGTCTCTTCGTTACATATTTTAAAAACTATTTAAAATTTTTCATTTTCCATAAATTTTTTTATCCTTTTTTGATTTTTTAAAAATATTTAATCATTTAAAAAAATATTTTTACTTAATTTAGATGCACTTTCAAAATAAAAAATGTAAAAACATCTGAAAAAATGACAAAAAAAAAAACACTTAGAAATGTGCTATTTTTTGTTTTCTTTTGCCTTTAATGATTTTTTCCCCCCCTACGTTTCTTTCACAATTGTTTTGTGTACATCTAGAAAGTAAAATCTTTAATGCTGTGTTTGGTTGAGGGATTTGAGGAGAAATTTGGAAAGGGAAATGGAAAAGGTAGGTGAAATGTGAAAAAAATATACCTACATTTCACATAGTTTCACACAACTTTTCCCTTTCCTTTTCTAAATCCCTCCCCAAATCCCCCTAACCAAACACAGCATAAAGATAATACAAAAAATAAAAAAACTAAAAAAAAACTTAATTATCTAATTCAGTAGCAAATGACCAAATTAGGATCAGTAGCAAAATGTAGATGCAAGTAAAGAGAAAACATGGTTGTAATTCCTTTCAATTATTCAAGTATTAGTTTAGACAAATTTTACTTTACTCCTGCTTTTGCCAACGTGCAGATTATCCCTGTCATTTAAAAATAGAAAAATGTTTGAAGGCCATAAATTCTGTGGTTCAAATGGTCCGAAACTATCAAAACGACGTCGTTTTATGTCGTTTTGCATCCAAAACGACGTCGTTTTGGCAGTTTCGGGCCATTTGAACCACAAAATTTGTGGTCTCCTAGCATTGCTGTTAAAAATAATTACATAATCTCTTATGATTTATGAAGTGAAGTATACCGTTAAACATTTTGTTTGATTTAACAAGTGTAAATACTTGCAGACATAAAGGGAGTTATATGCATATTTTTTTCAAGGGAGTAAATCACACACAGAATAAAGTACATGGGGTTAAATTACATTTTATCTTCTAAACAAACGACGAAAATATCCGTAGTTCACACACTTATGTTACTAATAATATTTAAGAATATTTTAATATTTTTCATTAAATCGTCACGGTCTTAAAGGTATTCTTCAGTCCACAAACTATTAGGACCTATGTGATTATTTCCAAAATAAGAGAGGGTAATCCGCAGGGTCAAACCATAATGAGTAAAAAGAAATTTGCCCTATTGGTTTTAAGCATCATGCCAGATTGGGTTATTCTTACATGAATGAAAGTAGATGATTGTGCCAATTCAAAGCAATCCATCACAAAGTTTACAATTCATAGTTAAAAATTGCTTATTAATTAGTTACTCTATTTTATTTGCAGTATGAAGGAGCAGTGAAAGAATCAGGAAGAGGAATGACTGTCTGGGATACATTTGCACATTCATTTGGTAATGCATTAAGAATATATATATAAACCAAACCGAATCAAAAGTTTTAACTCCCATCAAGGGGTCGGCTTTTAAGAGTATATATATATATAAAGTTGAAGTCAAGATTGTCATAGATTTCATTGCAAAAATCAATAACAGAGTCCCTTAATCAGAGACTTTGAAATATAATTTTGTATTTTTGTTGCAGGAAAGATAATTGATTCCAGTAATGCTGATGTTGCTGTAGACCAGTATCACCTATTTGATGTAAGTCCTCAGAGAACTAGTTTTGTTTTTTCTGGAGATAGATAGTGTTTAACCTCAAGGGCTAATAAGCATGAGGTTATGAGTTCAAGTCACGGGCAACCACTTTGTCTACTATGCCACTTTGTACATTATACCAAAGGTTAGGTTTGTACCCAATTTTTTTCCTCCCAAATACTTATTAATGTGTACTAATTGGGCGTTGTTTTTTTTAGATAGTATTTAGCAAATTAGCTTTATACCTTGCCTGTTCAAGTGGTGGATTATGTGCAAGGACTTGCCTTGGGGTTGCCACTGAGGCTTGGCAAATACAATATATATATATGGCTTGGTTTGGGAAGTAGGTTGGCTTTTTGACTTTTTGGCTTTTTTGGCTATTTTAGCCTGGGCTAAAAAGCTTGGTTTGGGAAGGGCTTTTTGGCTTTTTGGCTTTTTTGACTTTTTTTGTGAGAGAAGAATGTAATGATTATAGGTTGGATGTGATGTTTTGTTTGTTATGGCTAAAATAGCCTATTTTATTTTTTGTGGCTAAAATAGCCAAAAAAGCCTGAAAACTAACTTGCCAAACAGAGGCTATATATATTTTATAGAGAAAGTAGCTATTAAAAAAGCTAATGCATTTGACAAATGTTAAAAAGTTACATTTTTTTTTTTGTGAGCAGTAAAGTTGAGTGAAATTTTTTATTTCCCTCCTTTTGTCAGCTAGATTAGCCAAACGGGCAAACTTTTTTTTTTCCTAATCAACACTAAAGAAATATAAAGTAAAGGACAGCTTGGCCCAACGGTAAAGGTATCGTGGTGGCAGCATGGGTTCAAGTTATGGTAACAATCTATTTTGTGGTCTATTTTTCTCTTCTTACACCCCATTTTAGTCACCGTCTTGCGAAAAAATGAAATTGTGACCGAGTTGCCCTAGGCAAAGCAGCCATGGGTTTGGCAACAGACCCATTTCTTGTTTTATAATCTTTCTTTTTGTTGCGCAGAGATATATTTTAGAAACTTCTGTAATTGTTTGGATACAGGAGGATATTAAACTTATGAAGGACATGGGAATGGATGCCTACAGATTCTCAATTGCCTGGTCTAGGATTTATCCTAGTAAGTTTTTAATTTATTTTATTGTCCTTTAAGATCAATTACTTGGTGATTCGCTAGTCAATAATAGTCTCATTGACCACATAGAAAATAATAAAGAACAAAAAGAAGAAAAAGAAGAAGAAAGAAAAAAAGAAAAAAAGAAGAAAAGAAAAGGCATCAAAATTGATTGTCGTTTTTAACATCATATATATATACCCATTATCATCATAATCCATGTGCTACTGATCCAGCACTAAAATCGTTGCTCTGACTATAAAATGCTTACTAAAATTCCATTTCTAGGATCGTACGTAGCCCTCACAGTAGTTTCATTGAGGTTACTTACCAAGTACAAGACCTATTTGAGAAGACAAATTCTCTGGAAAAAGATCAGTTGAAACCCTCTAATGGTTTCTGCTAAACAAACATAATTCTTTTGAGAGCTGGAAAATACTTTTTTCTATGAGAAAGGGGAAGAATTCAACTTAATTTTTGAGGGAATCGAAAAAGAGGCTCATTTTTTTTTTCTTGTATTTTTTCATATTGATTAACTAGAAAATCACTTTTAAGGGTACTTGCTCCTCCATTGCACAATCTATTTGAACTATGCCTTACAGAAATGGTCCTACTACCACTTGCTCAATCCCGATGCATCAGGTGACATGATAGATTTTCAAGCAAATTTAACATCTTACATTTTTATCCAGTATCTTTAGTATTTTTCACGGTATATTTTTCTCCTTTTACTGGTCCAAAGACATGTTTAGAAGAAATAAAGCGAAGTTCTTATTGTTTACCCTCGTTGTGCCAGATGGATCTGGAGAAATCAATCAGGCAGGAGTGGATCACTACAATAATCTCATTAATGCTTTACTAGCCGCCGGTACCTTTATTGCTTCTCTGTCTTTTTTCTTGTTTTTATGAATAATCTATCTGATTCTTGTCTTTGATGGACCTACCATTATGCATCAACAACATTACTATGGTGCTCTAATTTTTGTATGATGTTTAGCATTGACTTGAATATCACATGTGTAGGAATCGAACCATATGTGACCATCTACCATTGGGACCTTCCTCAAGCCTTGGAAGACAGATACAATGGATGGCTCGATCGCCAAATCATGTAAGTGAATTATCTTTCTTCTCAACTTTCTTTCTCTTTTTTTGGGTGAAAATACCAAAATATTTCAATGCAAGTGGAATATGACCTTAGCCTTTCTTTAGAAAGGACTTTGCAACATATGCCGAGACATGCTTTCAGAAATTTGGTGATAGAGTGAAGTATTGGATTACATTCAACGAGCCTCATACGTTTACCATACAAGGTTATGATTTGGGTCTCCAGGCTCCAGGACGCTGCTCCATCATTGGTCACATTGTTTGTAGAGCTGGAAACTCTGCAACTGAACCATACATAGTCGCCCACAATGTTCTCATTTCTCATTCTATCGTGGCAGATATTTATAGACGTCAATACAAGGTATGTATAAAAGAATTTTGTTTGGAACAAATGAAAAGATCAGTATTTTGAAACTTACCCTTATTTTTTTTTTTTGAACAACTGGTGTTCACAAGATTGTAATTAGGCTAAAAATTACATAGAATAAGCAAGTGCAATTACTATCCTTTTCCAAAAAAAAAAAAAAAAATGAAAGAAAGTAGAAGAAGAAAATTGATAGAAATACCAACTGAAATATTTGTAATTTTGGTTCAAACACATGACTTTGATATTCATTACAACTTGACTGTTGCACAGCCAAAACAAAAAGGATTACTTGGGCTATCATTTGATGTTATGTGGTTTGAACCTACAACAAACACCACAAAGGACATTGAAGCAACACAAAGAGCGCAGGATTTTCAGTTAGGCTGGTAACATCTCATCACCTATGCTTGTCTAGTTTTAAGAGTTGCAGGAAAAGAAAATATTTTGGTTCATAGAGGAAAAACAAGAGTTATGTCTACAATCTCTATGTGGAACTTAGCATATAAAGGCCAGGCTTGAAGTTTGGAGGTGTATACTGATATATAATGCCTATTTGTGTTTCCAAAATGACCCTCTTTATGAAAAATATTCTAAAAAAGATTGTCATGTCTCATATAATCCATGTTCTTTATAATTGTAAATTGAAAATGTCACTTTGATCTTGAATTTCTTTATTTTGAGGCCTGTTTGATCAATTGCACAGAGTTCACATCCTCATAGTAACACTTTTAGCTGAATCAAGTTATTATGTTGAGTCTCATAATGGATTTGGCCTCATCGTTCGTGTGATTTATTATCTTTATTTGATGTTCCTAGTGATATCAATATATCATGTTGCATAATTGCAGGTTTATCGAACCTTTGATTTTTGGGAATTATCCGAGCTCAATGATCAGTAGAGTTGGGAGCCGGTTGCCAAAATTTACAAAAGTCGAGTCTGCTCTTCTCAAGGGATCCTTGGATTTCGTGGGCATAAATCACTACACAACATATTATGCAAACGAAAATTCATCTAATTTATTACCAATCCTACTTAATGACTCCCTAGCGGACTCTGGAGCTGTTACCCTCCGTAAGTATTTACCTATCCATCTATTTTGTGACCTCTTCATCTCAATCTTTAGCCATTATTGTAGTGACTAAAAGTATTTTAACTTTTTATGACTGCATTTTTGTTTTCAGCATTCAAATATGGACAACCTATAGGAGACCGGGTACGTAATCTCAGAACTATAAAGTTATGTTTGTTTTCACTGAATTAGACATGGAAGCTCTTTATTATTATATATTTGTTTTGCCTAATGTTTTGGTTTTATATCCTAGGCAAATTCTATATGGCTGTACATAGTACCTCATGGGATTAGAAGTTTAATGAATTACATCAAGGAAAAGTACGGAAACCCTCCAGTCATTATCACTGAAAATGGTAACCCTAGTTTAATTTTCACATCAAGATTGTTACTTTATTGTCTTCTACATAGCATTTCATTTGAGTCCTTCAAGTTTTCTTTTTTACATAATGTGTGTGATTGAAAAGTTGTGAAGCACTTATAACTTGATTTCATATCCATGCACCATCAAAACTTCAACTAAATTAATAGCCATCAACTAAGAAAAGAAAAATATGGTGAAATCAATATCATTATAGAGCTTTTCAAGAGTTCAAACCCAATTTCTGTCTTCGAAAACGAAGGAGCAAAATTGTGACAAACTAAATCTTTTTTTCTTTCACACTTTTTTTTTGGGGCCAGGAATGGATGATCCAAATGATCCATTCGTTCTGATTAAAGATGCCTTAAAGGATGAGAAAAGGATCAAATACCACAATGACTATCTCACAAACTTGCTAGCTGCTATCAAGTATGTAATCAACATCTTTTCATGAATGTACGTGTTGTAAGGTTATATATAATTAAGGGCAAAAGACATAATATGTTGTGGTTTTGACTAAATTGCAGTGAAGATGGATGCAACGTTAAGGGTTATTTTGTATGGTCGCTATTGGATAATTGGGAGTGGGGAGCAGGGTATACTTCTCGCTTTGGTCTCTATTTCGTGGATTACAAAGACAAGTTGAAGAGATACGCCAAGGACTCGGTTAAGTGGTTCAAGACTTTTCTGACTACTGCATAAAAAAATGAGACACTACAACACATTATTGCATAAACATGTATAAGGGTTGTTTCTGTGCATTTTGTTTACTTTTGGGAACTTCATTATTGGAGGACATGTTCAGTTGGAATGATTTAGAAAATGGGTGGAAAAATTGCTCACCATTTGGTGTTCAAGTGTTTGTTGTTTGAAGCAAGTAGAAAAATCAATTGATGTGCAAAAATTTCTCAGTATGCCATAAGAATTACACCACAAGTTGGGCTAAAAATAATGTTTTTGTTTTGTGGAGAAAAAAAAAAATGAAATATATTTAGCAACAAATATCACTTTTATAAAGTTTAATAAGACATGCACAAATATAGGGATGTAAAACATGTCAAACCACTTAAGTTTTATTCATATTCAACTCATTTGAGACAAGCTTGTTATGTGAAATTAGTCAAATTTGAAGATATTTTTGAAACTTGTTAATTTTTTAAACTCATATTGAACTCGAATCTTTAAACTTTTTGCATTATTAAGGTATACTTGAGCTTGACTTGATAAGAGTTCGTTTGAAATCTATTTGTGCAGTGGTTGTGGGCCATTTTAGGATTTCTTTATCAAAATGTACAAAGATGAGGCCGCTTTGCCAATGGAAAATTTTCTTTGCTAAATAAACTTCAAAATAAATTTATTCATTTTTGACTAAAAAAATTTAACATTAAAAAAAAATGACTCACTCAAAGTTTTTATTTACCAAAAATAAATAATTTTTTAATATTTACCAAATGCATTGATTTTTATTTATTTATTTATTTTTTTGTAGATTTAAAAAAACAAAAATTATTTAAAATATTAAAAAAAAAAAACAATTACCAACCTCCCCTAAATGGAACCCTGTCAAAATTTAGAGGTTCAAGCAAATGAAACTATAAAGATTTCTTTAGTTGCCTTTCCTAACACTAAGATTAAAAAAAAGAAAAAATGCAACCCTAATCACATTGAGTAATTCTTGTAGATATGGACTGGATCCTCTTTAGTTGGTGTCCTTTAATCTATTATAAACTTAATTCAATCAATTAAATCATTTTGTAAGGTTCATTAAATAAATTATTCGTGCAAAAAAATAAAATTAATTAGATGTTGAGACCACCCAATCGATCATATCTGTCTAAAAATAATATGTTATCATTATTTTCATAACTGTTATTGTAACTAGGGGTGAAATCGGTTTGGTTCGGTCGGTTTTTTCACTAGTTTTGCACCGAACCGATCATTTCGGTTTTTCATATTTGTGAATTGAACCGCCCAGAAAAATAACATAAACCGGCGCGGTTCGGTTTATTACGGTGCGGTGCGGTTTTTTCGGTTTTTCGGTTTTTTTGCCTTTTTTTTTTCCTAGTTGGGCCTCACATTTTGGGCCTATATTTCTATCCATTTTGCATAAAATTTGGGCTCAGGCCATGTAATTCCTACATAGGTTTGGGGCCTCACATTTTGGGCCTATTAATATTATATAAGTCGATGCAGTTCGGTTCAAAAAATCAAAAACCGTAAACCGAACCGAATGTACAGAAAAACATAAACCAAACCGAACCGAACGATTGAAAACTTAAAACAACGACCGAAAACCGTTCGGTTCGGTCGGTTCGGTCGGTCCTTCCGGTTATTCTTTCACCCCTAATTGTAACTAATTTTTTTTATAAATATATAAAATTAGTTATACAAAGGTAGTTATAAATTATATGGGTAATTTGAAGAGAGAGGAAAAAAAAAAGGCGGTTCAAAATTCTAAAATTACAATTTTTTTATCCAAATATTCAGGTGTTAAAATATTATACAAAAATATTAGAGATTCTAAAATTTTATCAAATTTTTTTTATCAAATATCCCATATAGATATGCGACCCACATACACACCCATATAAAATATTTAATAAAAATTTTAATAGAATTTTTAAAATCTCTAACTGCACTTAACATTATATCCATCGGGACAAGTTGTGCCAAATGGCCAAACTACCATCCTATATATGTATTATGAGGTCTTTTGGGAAGCAAAAAAAAAGCCAACTTTTAGTTTTTTTTATCTATTTTGGGTCACATCACCTCTCACATTTTTTACTCACAAAAAGACAAAATAAACTAAAAAAATAAAAAAATTAACTTTTTATCAACTTCCAAAAACACCACTATACCCGCATATTCCCGAACCAAACCCGCCACTATCTCTCTCTCCCTCTAGACCTTCTCTCTTCGCAATTCCCAAACCAGACCAACTCGCCTGTTTTTGAGTTTTCAAAAATATTTTTAAAAATTTTTAATTCATTTTTTTAGTAAATTTTTTTTAATATTGTAATTAAGTTTTTAATTTTTTTGATCTAGCTCAAGTAGATATAAAAATTTTAAAAATAAACAAATAAATAAAAATTGGTTAAAAAAATAAAAACGTTCACTATAAAAAAATATATGAATTGAAAATTCAAAAAACTACACTTGAAAACTCCAATCAATAAAAATTGAGGGATGCTAAATGCCCCTACCTTTCTATTGTAGATCTCTTGCTTCTTTGGCCTTCCATCACCAAAATTGCTTCTCTCTTTAATTTTCTTTTGACCTCTACCATAATCTCAAATATACCCTTTGAACTTCACCCGTACACTTTTTACTTGTAACTCTTCATTCTCTTCTCCGGTAGTCCCCTTTCCACTCCGGTGACCCTTTCTCTACGGCCAACTAGTTTGGAATAGTATTCTCAAAGATAAATTTATTTCTTGTGGTCTAGATTTGATCATTGAAGAATGTCCGTCAATGATCATTCAACAAAACTTCAATGTCAATAATTAATAGATTTGATTCAAATCTCTGACATATATATTCAGGGTAAAATTGTCTAGAAAAAAGAAAAAAAAAATATTAATCTGTCTTTTATGAAGAACACGTTTCTTGTTTAGGAGGTTTAAGAAATAAAATAGTTTAGATTGTCCTTTACACAGTAACATGTTGGGAATAGAGAATTTTGGCTAAATTTTCCTAATATTGTTGACAAATACTGACTTTATTTTTTATTTTTGTCAAATAAAAGAACATGATTTTATTATCATCAACCCATTGTTAATTGGACCAATTTGGTGCAATTTATGGGCTACTTGGTATAATTTTCTTTTTTTTTTAAAAAAAAATTTGTGCAAGAATTTTGGTGTCACTTTTGCTTACATTTCATAAGAAAAAAAATAGCTTGAATAAAATGAAAAAAATATAATTTTTGAAAAGCAAAAAAAAAACAAAAAAAAACAAAAAAGTGATTTTAATTTATATTTTTTGATTATCCAGTTTCAACATGTTAAAATCTACACCAAACATAGTGATAACAGTCTTCAATTGAAATAGCCATAGCTACAATTCTGTTTTATTGTACTAGTTTGGGATATAAAATCATGTGATTAGACTATGTATCTAGTCAATTCTTAATTCCATTTTCGGATATAAAAATGGGTCTTTAAAAAAATTTATATTGATGTATTATTTTTTATCCTTTCATTTTCAGTTGAAATACCAACTAGCTCATGGGTGGAACTGAGTCAATAAATTTTGAATCCATAATTGATTTTACTATGTTGTTTGTTTGATATCCTATATTCTTTGTATATTGGACAAATATATAAACATAAGGAGTATACCAAAAAAAAAAAAAAAAAAGAAACAAAAAATCACTTATATAGAATATAATTTTGGAGATTTATATCAATTCATTTTAAACTATAAGACCTACCTTATTATTTTAAAAATGTCATGCAAATTTGTATCAGTGATTTTAAACCAAAAGACCTAACTTATTATTTTAAAAATGTCATTATCATATATTGATGCATTTTATCCATGTCAACAACATTTTTAAAATAATAAATCAGTTTAATATTGGTTCTTTTTTTTTTTTTCTTCCTTTTGAAATGAACGAATTCAAATCTATGACATTATTTTGTAAAATTTTTTATTTGTATATCAAATTTTTCCTTTATTTTTATTTTTATGAAACCAATTCTTGGCCATACTCTCTCATGCTTGTCCATCCTTTTGGTATTTTAATGGTTCTTCAGAGATTCATATTTCATATTGTAACTTCTTCTAACTTGACAAAATTAAAAGACTTGTATTGATCATAAAACACTAAATAATTTAGGGTTAATTAATCAAACTAACCAAGGTCTAATTCACATGAACCAGTTAGTCACACAAATCTTGTGTGCTCATAATAAGGTTTAAATTTTTTATAGCTATATTTGCTCTTTAAATGTGGAGACAAAGCAAATGAACTGTTCCAATGTAAAAAAATGGAGGGTTTTCTTGGTTATTGAAATGCAATTTGCTAAGATTAGTTGCTTTTTTGGGTAAATCTATAAGGCACTAATGTTTGTTATTTTTATATTTTGAATTTGTGGAAGATTTGTGGAGGGAAATGAAGAAAAAGTTAGAGAAGTGAATGCAATATTAAATAAATTTTTGTTTACTTTTTTTGTTTATTTATTTTTTTCCCCCCGCAAATTACCTTACAAAATCTAAACGTAGAAGAATGAGATATAGGAGAAAACCATAACAAATTTATAGTCTATTGCAACAACTCTAATCAACCAATAAAGTACAACGATGGCCAACTAATTGGATTCCAATAGTACCATGTTGTTATGGTCATCTCCTCAAGTGCCACCACGACCACCGTTCAAGGAATCCGGCATGGTCACCTCATCAAGCGGGTTCTCTACTTGCAGGTCAAATGCCACTACCTTCGTGGCCACCTTCCATAGTGCAACTCAAATGAAAATTGATTAATACATTTAATATCACAACATTACAATCAACAACTGTCATGTTAAGATGTAATAATATGTCATAATATCATCTAATTTATTTCTATTTAGAAAATATTCTTTTTTTCTCGTCTTTTGTATTTGTTGAGACGAATGATATATTTTCTAAAAAAGAAAAGAATAAAAAGATAGTTTTGTCTTTAAAAAGATTATTGTGCAGTACATTAATTCACCTGAATTGATAGTTTGATATCTATCTTTGATCACTTTTTTTTTTCCCTCTCTCTATCCTCACCATACATTTAAGTAATGTCATTTTTCTAAATATTTTTCATGTGAAAATGTTTTGTATAATGAATTTTAAAAAATATACCTAAAAATTAAAACTCAACACATTTTAAATTCTTAGTAATTTTTTAAATATTTTTCTTCTAAGCAGACCATCT